ATCACTAGAGACCTTGCAGCAGACCTGGTGTCTTTCAGTTTCCTTACAACCTCATATGTTCTAAAGCTAAATTAGCCCTTCATCATCGAATAAGAGGTATTCTCCCCCGATTCTTGCTTCCTAAGGAAGTGCAGAGAGAAAACCATGAATGGCACCTCAATGTAATGATAAAGACACAGTACTAGATACCATATCTGAAGCATTGAAGGATGCTCTCAGGGCATAGTTCACTACAAACTGACCTTTGGTAGCAGAGGTTTTGTCTAGTTATCCTCTCAATCCCTGGGTGAAGGAGGGTGATCTTGTGGTCTGAAAGGCTGGAATTGAGATTGATTCCTTCTTCTGCGGGAAAGAAAAAATCTGCCCCACTGCTTTGTGCATCTTTCCTTTCTCTTTAAGGACTATGGACAATGTACCCAGTGCTGCACAAAATCGGCCTGATCTGAAGGTTGATCTAAATGAGGGTGATTAAGGGGTTCAATATGATGAACCTGCCTAATCTACTACATAGATCCAGAAGGAACTGACAGTTGTGTTAAAGCAAACAAACATTGAGATTTTTAGCACAGAACCAACAGCCTTGGATCCAGACAGCCTTGATCCTCAATATTATCCTTCACTGTGGCACTGACTTCCAAGGCCTGAGGCTAAGAGTATGCTTTTGCACTTCATTGTGCAGAACTGGATGCACTAGATCTGTAGAGGTATGCTCTTCAGGACTGTCCTTCAGAGGAAGTGGACACCTGTGAGGCCACACATTTGTGCTCAGCTGGAACCAATCTTTTCAGATTCATAGTGATTGGCACGTTAAGTTCGGCTCAAGACAGAGGCCAACACATGAAGGGATTTTGCCATGATTTTTAACTCTATCAGGAGTCAAAGCTGAGGCTGGTCTCACAGCACTTACGGAATCCTGAGTTTTAGAACCAGAAGCTTTAGCTATTAATGATTCCTGCAACAACATAGCTTGAAGGCAATTCCTGGGGATAAAGGTGCTGCATATGGAGCAACAATGCAGCAAGTCACCTTGCCCCAAGCAAGTCAAACAACATTGTATGTGTGTGTGTCTAAGGAGAAATAACAGCAGGGCAAGAGGTGCACCTCTTGAACCCAGGTTTCTTTATCTTAGGTTTTGATGTATCAGAACAAAGGACCCTTGACAGGGTGCTAAAATACTCAAGCAGTTTTTTCTTGTTTTTTTGACTAGCTAAACCTCACTAAAATAGGGTGGCAGCATAAACAACAAATCAGGGTTCTAAAAATTTGGGGATCCAGTAATCTGTGACCACAATTGGAAAGAACTGAGGTGGTTTTCGTGATGTGCCCCCTTTTATAACCTCACCCTCCAAGTGTTCAGGGCCTCAAGGAGAAGGCAAGAGGCATACGAGTGCTCCAATGGACACAGCTAGTAGAAGATTCCACTGGTCCAAACTGCACCATTGGCACATCACAGAAGTCAGAATGTGCAGAGGCCACTCAAATAAAAAATGCTTGGTCATTATTTGCAAATTAAGAATTGGTAGGTAGGTAGGTAGGTAGGTAGATAGAAAATTAATAACCTAAAATTACATTTTGGAAATTCACCACACAGGGCAGAGGTAAGAGTGATTGGGTGCCTTCACCGTGCATTTCCATAGCTTAACAAATTTGAATTTTTTAGGTTTAACATTAACTCCAAATTTTCTGAGTGTGCAACATTTGTTTGGGGGATAATTACAACAATTAATGTTTTACCCTAAAATTACGGATATGTACTCAGTCTTAACTCCTGTTTTATGTAGTTTTTCCTCTCGGAATAAAGTATATTTAGAACAATAAATACAAAGTGAACTTTCCTACTGAATATCAAATGATGATGAACCAAAGTAAACAGAAGGTGAATTTCATATAGCACTTTACATCTTCAAAGTGGTTCAAAGCGCCTTACAGAGTAGAACATCAAATGTTGGTAGTGTTCTGCAAAGGGCAGCAAAACAAATACTCTCAGCATTAGTGTGGACCTCACCCCAACCATCAGAACTGATTTCATTAAGACAGGTAGCATTAGCCAGAACACTAGAGTTATCCCCTGCTCTGCAAGAAAAGCAAGGTGTCAGCCAAGATTGCATTTGTGCTGCCTGAAACACCCTCCCCCCCACAAAGTCAAGATGTTCAGTGAAATAGTTTTTCAAGTCAAATCTGCAGCCAAAGTTTAGAGAAAGAGAAACAGGGGACTTCTGTACTGTAGAAATAGTGTACTCGGCAACTTTGGAGGTTGGGTGAGGAAAGGAAGCATCTTACATAGCTTTTAAGCTGTCCTCTTTGAGTGATTCAAGCACCATATTATCTGGCTCTGGAGAGAGCAAATTCACTTTGGCCCGAAGACTTGGCCTGACAATAAGTCTTTGAGGGGATAAAACGGAAATTGTGTGCATTTGGAAGAGGGGACTATCAAAAGAAATTCAGCAATTCTCAGCAATTCTATTTTCAGTATCTAGCGGGTATATTCTCACTAGACGGATGTTTAAATCCCCCATTTGTTGAGATAGCAGCTCACTGCATAGAAATGAAAACAAACTTCTCACTTTGAAATTATATGGACTAATAAAATGTTATTTTTAAAAAGCTGAATATGGATAACATAATACAGCTCTTCCACTGTATTCAGAGAAAAAAGCAGCAATCCAGAAATGTAAAATATAAGACAATGATACACATGTCATTTTATAAAAACATATGAAAGAGCACACAACCCTCTCACAAACTTATTCAGATCAGAAGTCATTATTTTAGCTGGTTTTCTAGGTCAATGCACGAAGTAGTTATTGAAATTGCAACAGAGAGAAAACAATGTGCACAACAGCAGGTGCTGAGAACAAATTAAGAGCAGAGAATATTAAGAGTCATATCCAGTTTAACAAAAGACTAAGTTGTTTGCATTCTCAGGTACATATTCAAATTGTAAATAAGAGTAACCTCTGGAATTCATCATTGTTCCTTTATTATTTCTAATTTATCCTTTCATCAACATTTCTGAAGACAGGATTGTAATCCTAACAAAAGATGACAAAAGTGTCTACTATTAAGGGGCTTATTCCTTCACCCACTTACTTCCCTGGTCCTTCTCGCATGAACAGAGAGCAACAAAACCCGAAGTCCAAAGGTGCAAACGATTCAATGTTTATTGGGGTGAACTTCCAGCAAGCGTGATTCCAGTTTCCTTCCTTAATGTCCCCCTTCCCAGCTCTGACACCACAGAGCCTTACCTGTGTCCCTGTTCCCATTCCCCCCCTTTAGCAAAACATGATTTCAATTTCCCCACCTCCATTCCCTGTTCCCATTTCCCCCCCCCTTACTTCCTGATTGACTGCAGACTATATAGTAAAACTTGAGCTCTGCTTAGCTATACCTTAACCAATAATTTTCCTGAAATTTAACTAACCAATCCTAACATATTGTAACATGATTATTTAACCAATTAAATCCCACTACCTTAATTAGTTTACACCCAGCAAAATTAATTATACAGCAGACAAAATCTCAGAACCAGACAGAGATTATACAAAAGGGAATATACAAAATAAAAGGGATTATACAAAACAATAAGGAAATGGGGACTACAATGATAGAACAAACACAGAAATGAGGATTTCACATCCCAGCTATTGATAAGTGAGTTCTTGCCAGACAGGATGCTATCAAACTAAGTTTCCTTTTACATTTTCTAGGCACTTCCCTTTCTCTGGAGACAATAGGCATTATAAGGACAGGACTGTATTCCTAACAGCCCAATAGCACCTTATTTCAATGTGGTTACTTTGGAATGTAAAGATGTGACCATTCGCTTCCCAGCTTATGGCTGCCTCTGCTGCTTAGCCAAAGGCCTTAGCCTAAGAACAGGGCCTCAGACTGTCACAGTGAGAAAAGGCCGTGTACAGTCAGACAGTGATTTTGATTCTCTCTTTTATACCTCTACAACTAGCTAAATGATAAGAATACACCTAAATTCTTAAGAGTCTAGGCCTTTACAGACAGGCCTGAATATCTATGTCCTAACATCTACCATCACCTGTGTCTTGGCGGGAGAGAGGGAGGGAGGGAGCTTGTCTGACCAGACAAACATGGAAAAGACAAACCCTGGAATCCTGAGAAGAAGGTTAAAGGGAGGGTCAAGAATAGCATCTCTGCTACTTACCGGCACCCCCCGTTTCCCCAACATGCCAAAGCTTTTACTGTAGTATGATACTCTGGTGGTCCTCCATGCTGGCAATACCTCCCAATTTAGTCATCCACAAACGTTATTAGTACATTCCCAATCAATAAAAATAGGACTAATTTAAAACGGCAGAATGAATATTTAATCCTCCTGAATTAATTTAGAGCCTTTCCACATGCTTTAATATGGAACAAGTGTGCACCTAATTCCATCTAGCACAAACATTAAGTCTGGGTTTCTTAACTAATGTTCCAGGGGGGGGAAGGGAGAATAAAAAACACATACTGTATATTATAGCACATATATTCCTATTTAGCCCGTTCCGTAAAGAAAGCTAGGCCAATTTTCAAAATTCCATCTCTCCCATCAGTTATCATAGACCTCATAAATGCTACAGTTTATTTCACAGCATTGACTGGCCCAACTTCATTGTGTAACAAAAGTTTTCTTTAGTAGTACAAGCATGACAGTTATTGCACAATTCTCCTTATTTTTATACATTTTAGGACTTCTGATATAAAAGTAATTTCACAGTCTATGTTATGACTATAGTGAAATATTTTCCCATTGCATATCAGGGTTTACATCGTTTATTTGTGGGGGAGGGGTGTTAAACTGGCAGAACTGCAAGTCTCACCTTGGAAACAGAGTGCGTGTAGTGCGAGGAAACAATTCTGCAAAGCAAGCATATTTGATAATTTAAACTTTTTCAAATGTGCCCACAATTCGTAATTACTAGAATGACTGGCTTAGGATGAGATCTGAAAAACAAACAACTGACTCCAATTCCAGCTCCTTTGCCCTGGTCTACACTAGGACTTTAGGTCGAATTTAGCAGCGTTAAATCGATGTAAACCTGCACCCGTCCACACAATGAAGCCCTTTATTTTGACTTAAAGGGCTCTTAAAATCGATTTCCTTACTCCACCCCTGACAAGTGGATTAGCGCTTAAATCGACGTTGCCGGCTCGAATTTGGGGTACTGTGGACACAATTCGATGGTATTGGCCTCCGGGAGCTATCCCAGAGTGCTCCATTGTGACCGCTCTGGACAGCACTCTCAACTCAGATGCACTGGCCAGGTAGACACGAAAAGAACCGCAAACTTTTGAATCTCATTTCCTGTTTGGCCAGCGTGGCAAGCTGCAGGTGACCATGCAGAGCTCATCAGCACAGGTGACCATGATGGAGTCCCAGAATCGCAAAAGAGCTCCAGCATGGACCGAACGGGAGGTACGGGATCTGATCGTTGTTTGGGGAGAGGAATCCGTGCTATCAGAACTCCGTTCCAGTTTTCGAAATGCCAAAACCTTTGTGAAAATCTCCCAGGGCATGAAGGACAGAGGCCATAACAGGGACCCGAAGCAGTGCCGCGTGAAACTGAAGGAGCTGAGGCAAGCCTACCAGAAAACCAGAGAGGCGAACGGCCGCTCCGGGTCAGAGCCCCAAACATGCCGCTTCTATGATGAGCTGCATGCCATTTTAGGGGGTTCAGCCACCACTACCCCAGCCGTGTTGTTTGACTCCTTCAATGGAGATGGAGGCAATACGGAAGCAGGTTTTGGGGACGAAGAAGAAGATGATGATGATGAGGTTGTAGATAGCTCACAGCAAGCAAGCGGAGAACCTGGTTTTCCCGACAGCCAGGAACTGTTTCTCACCCTGGACCTGGAGCCAGTACCCCCCCGAACCCACCCAAGGCTGCCTCCTGGACCCAGCAGGCGGAGAAGGGACCTCTGGTGAGTGTACCTTTTAAAATACTATACATGGTTTAAAAGCAAGCATGTGAAAGGATTACTTTGCCCTGGCATTCGCGGTTCTCCTAGATGTAGTCCTAAAGCCTTTGCAAAAGGTTTCTGGGGAGGGCAGCCTTATTGCGTCCTTCATGGTAGGACACTTTACCACTCCAGGCCAGTAACACGTACTCGGGAATCACTGTAGAACAAAGCATTGCAGTGTATGTTTGCTGGCATTCAAACAACATCCATTCTTTATCTCTCTGTGTTATCCTCAGGAGAGTGAGATATAATTCATGGTCACCTGGTTGAAATAGAGTGCTTTTCTTCAGGGGACACTCAGAGGGGCCCATTCCTGCTGGGCTGTTTGCCTGTGGCTGAACAGAAATGTTCCCCGCTGTTAGCCACAGGGAGGGGGGAAGGATGAGGGGGTAGTCATGCGGTGGGGGGAGGCAAAATGCGACCTTGTAACGAAAGCACAGGTGCTATGTATGTAATGTTAACAGCAAGGTTTACCCTGAAAGAGTGTAGCCACTGTTTTATAAAATGTGTCTTTTTAAATACCGCTGTCCCTTTTTTTTTCTCCACCAGCTGCATGTGTTTCAATGATCACAGGATCTTCTCCTTCCCAGAGGCTAGTGAAGCTTAGAAAGAAAAAAAAACGCACTCGCAATGAAATGTTCTCCGAGCTCATGCTGTCCTCCCACACTGACAGAGCACAGACGAATGCATGGAGGCAAATAATGTCAGAGTGCAGGAAAGCACAAAATGACCGGGAGGAGAGGTGGCAGGCTGAAGAGAGTAAGTGGCGGGCTGAAGAGAGTAAGTGGCGGCAGCGTGATGAGAGGAGGCAGGATTCAACGCTGAGGCTGCTGGAGGACCAAACCAGTATGCTCCAGTGTATGGTTGAGCTGCAGCAAAGGCAGCTGGAGCACAGACTGCCACTGCAGCCCCTCTGTAACCAACCGCCCTCCTCCCCAAGTTCCATAGCCTCCACACCCAGATGCCCAAGAACGCGGTGGGGGGGCCTCCGGCCAACCAGCCACTCCACCACAGAGGATTGCCCAAAAAAAAGAAAGCTGTCATTCAATAAATTTTAAAGTTGTAAACTTTTAAAGTGCTGTGCTTAAAGTGCTGTGTGGCATTTTCCTTCCCTCCTCCACCACCCCTCCTGGGCTACCTTGGTAGTCATCCCCCTATTTGTGTGATGAATGAATAAAGAATGCATGAATGTGAAGCAACAATGACGTTATTGCCTCTGCAAGCGGTGATTGAAGGGAGGAGGGGTGGGTGGTTAGCTTGCAGGAAAGTAGAGTGAACCAAGGGGCGGGGGGTTTCATCAAGGAGAAACAAAGTGAACTTTCACACCGTAGCCTGGCCAGTCATGAAACTGGTTTTCAAAGCTTCTCTGATGCGTACCGCGCCCTCCTGTGCTCTTCTAACAGCCCTGGTGTCTGGCTGCGCGTAACCAGCAGCCAGGCGATTTGCCTCAACCTCCCACCCCACCATAAACGTCTCCCCCTTACTCTCACAGATATTGTGGAGCACACAGCAAGCAGTAATAACAGTGGGAATATTGGTTTCGCTGAGGTCTAAGCGAGTCAGTAAACTGCGCCAGCGCGCCTTTAAACGTCCAAATGCACATTCTACCACCATTCTGCACTTGCTCAGCCTGTAGCTGAACAGCTCCTGACTACTGTCCAGGCTGCCTGTGTACGGCTTCATGAGCCATGGCATTAAGGGGTAGGCTGGGTCCCCAAGGATACATATAGGCATTTCAACATCCCCAACAGTTATTTTCTGGTCTGGGAATAAAGTCCCTTCCTGCAGCTTTTGAAACAGACCAGAGTTCCTGAAGATGCGAGCATCATGCACCTTTCCCGGCCATCCCACGTTGATGTTGGTGAAACGTCCCTTGTGATCCACCAGAGCTTGCAGCACTATCGAAAAGTACCCCTTGCGGTTTATGTACTCGGCGGCTTGGTGCTCCGGTGCCAAGATAGGGATATGGGTTCCGTCTATGGCCCCACCACAGTTAGGGAATCCCATTGCAGCAAAGCCATCCACTATGACCTGCACATTTCCCAGGGTCACTACCCTTGATATCAGCAGATCTTTGATTGCGTGGGCTACTTGCATCACAGCAGCCCCCACAGTAGATTTGCCCACTCCAAATTGATTCCCAACTGACCGGTAGCTGTCTGGTGTTGCAAGCTTCCACAGGACTATCGCCACTCGCTTCTCAACTGTGAGGGCTGCTCTCATCTTGGTATTCATGCGCTTCAGGGCAGGGGAAAGCAAGTCACAAAGTTCCATGAAAGTGCCCTTACGCATGCGAAAGTTTCTCAGCCACTAGGAATCGTCCCAGACCTGCAACACTATGCAGTCCCACCAGTCTGTGCTTGTTTCCCGAGCCCAGAATCGGCGTTCCACAGCATGAACCTGCCCCATTAGCACCATGATGCATGCATTGGCATGGCCCATGCTTTCAGAGAAATCTGTGTCCATGTCCTGATCACTCACGTGACCGCGCTGACGTCGCTTCCTCGCCCGGTATCGCTTTGCCAGGTTCCGGTGCTGCATATACTGCTGGATAATGCATGTGGTGTTTAATGTGCTCCTAATTGCCAAAGTGAGCTGAGCGGCCTCCATGCTTGCCTTGGTATGGTGTCCGCACAGAAAAAAGGCGCGGAACGATTGTCTGCCGTTGCTCTGACAGAGGGAGGGGCGACTGACGACACGGCTTACAGGGTTGGCTTCAGGGAGCTAAAATCAACAAAGGGGGTGTCTTTACGTCAAGGAGTATTTCAAGCAGGACTTCACGGAGGGTTCCAATAAGAAATGGTGCACCTAAGTTATTGTTCTTATTGGAACAAGGAGGTTAGCCTGGCCTCTGATTGATACATGGCTAGATTTACCTCGCTGCACCTTCTCTGTGAGTGACTGCAGTGTGACCTAGAGGAATGAGTCCCCTAGATGGGGGAGGGGGGGAAGCAAATGAGTACAAAACAAATCTGGTCTATTTCTTGTTTTGACCCACTCCATCTATCTTTTACATCTTTGGCTGGCAGCAGACGGTGCAGAAGGACTGCAAGCCATCCACATCTCATGGCTGCTCGGCAGAAGATGGTACAGTACGACTGCTAGCCATCCTCATCTCTTGCCTGCCTGGCAGAAGATGGTACAGTACGACTGCTAGCAGTCCGTATCGCCTGCCCGCTCACCATAAGACGGTTCAATAGGACTGACTGCAGGACTAAAGAGAATGACCTGGTCAAGTCACTCCAAATTTAGTCCCTGCGCCCATGTCTGCCCAGGCGCTCCCAGCCGACGTGGCCAGGAGCACCTCGGACACGACGAGGACGACTACCAGTCGTATTGCACCGTCTGCTGCCAGAAGGCAATGGGTTGCTGCTACTGTGTAGCAAAGCCGTACCGCGTCTGCCAGCACCCAGGAGACATAGGGTGACGGTTACCTGAGCGGACTCCATGCTTACCGTGGTATGGCGTCTGCACAGGTAACTCAGGAAAAAAGGCGCGAAACGATTGTCTGCCCTTGCTTTCACGGAGGGAGGGAGGGAACGGGGGCCTGACGATATGTACCCAGAACCACCCGCGACAATGTTTTAGCCCCATCAGGCATTGGGATCTCAACCCAGAATTCCAATGGGCAGCGGAGACTGCGGGAACTGTGGGATAGCTACCCACAGTGCAACGCTCCGGAAGTCGACTCTAGCCTCGGTACTGTGGAAGCGCTCCGCCGAGTTAATGCACTTAATGCACTTAGAGCATTTTCTGTGGGGACACACACACTCGAATATATAAAACCGATTTCTAAAAAACCGACTTCTATAAATTCGACCTTATTCCGTAGTGTAGACATACCCTTTCTCTTCCAATTCTTATCTTCCTTCTCCTTCCCCCTTGGAGGTTTCATCCCAAACCAGGCCCCAATCCTTCCCTCTCCCACTACAGATTTTCTCTTTATCCAATAAATGAACCCCCGGCCCCTTTCTATTCCAACGCAGACTGCCTTCTGAGCTCATCTCTAACTTTCTACCTCTTCACCTGCGAGGTTTTTCCAAATCCCAACACCTTCCTCTATTAATATCAGCCTTTTGCTAACAAAGATGGATGTTCCTGCAGATGCTTATCTCAGCATGGTCCAGAGGCACCCCTTAGTCTAATGTTTCCCACACTTAAAAGCTGAACCCCTGCCCCCCTTCAGAAAAATGTAACCAATCTCACCCCCTGGTAGGCTCTAGATGTGTTACTAAAGGCTTATGCATGCTCCAACTTGTCTTTTGAGCTTCTCCCCCCTTTGAGACACACACACACACACACACTTTAAGAAATATCAGTGTAGTTTTCATAATACACTTCCTCTCGTTTCTTAAAATGTCCTGGATCAGCAAATCATTGACATTTATATTGATATAAATATTGACATTTAAAGTCTCATTGACATCTGAGTTCACTGTCATTGAAATGAATGGGGCAGTTCACAGCTCAGAACTATTGTTTCTGGCCCTCTGCAAACTCGGGCAAACATCACATCACATTCCCTCCAATTTGAATGTTTTCTCCTTCTGTAACTATAGCAGCTAGAGTTTCAGTTTCATTTTAATAATAAAGTAAGACTCTTGAGGACAACTTAGAGGTCTGTCTAGCTTTGCTCTACCATCCAGCTTACCCTTTAAACACTCCAGTGGAGCATGGCCCACACTTTAAGAAACAATGTCCTAGATCCTAATGTGGTCACCACAAATATTACCCTTTTACATGGATGGAGAAGACAAACACTTGCCTTAGGTCTTGTATTCCATAAAAAAGGTTCCAAAATTTGATCAAAGTAATATGGAACACTTGTTAGAAACCAATAGAGACCTCGAAGATTAATAGGTTGATTCACAGTGTGACCCTGCTCTTATGAAACATTGTATAATGGGGACCTGCCTTGAGTTCCTGAATCTCCTGTGCCTTTCCAGATAATGTAATGGCTACTAAAAAAAAGATAGTTTTCATGAATGGGTAGTAAATGGAACAAGTTGCTGAGGGCTCAAAGGGGACCCATTGATCCTGTTAACAGTATATTGAGGTCTCAAGAGGGAATTGAGTCCTGAACTGTGGGGAAAAACATGAATAATGCATTTAAGGAATCTAGCCACTGTGAGGTGAGAAAACAGTGTGGCCCTTGGTAGGAAAGTAATTGCTGCTAGATGGACCCTTATACAGCCAACAGAAAGTCCAGATTGTTGCAGCTCTGGTAAATGAGTGCTGAAATGAGTGTTGTCAGGCGACACAGCTAGTGGTGAGCTGCCCAAATAGAAAACCTCTTCCACTTCACTTTATAAGTCTATCTAGTTGAGGCTTTCCTGCTTTGCAACAGAAAGTTCTGAGGTTCAGCTGAAGACCTTCTTTTGTAGGATTTCAGTCAGCCAGCATTCAGGCTGTCAGCTATAAGGAGACTGGGTCCAGGTTTAGGATCTGGCTGTTCTGAAAGACTATGTTGGGGCTGTAGTGAAACATTCATTAGATCCAAATATCAGAACTGCTTGGCCTATCCTGGGGTTATCATCAGTTGTGTCTTGCCTCTGTTTCCTCAGGACCCTCAGTATCATGGGAAAGGCCTGCAATAACACCAATGTCCAAAGGATGGGAAAGGTGTTCATCAGGGAGTTTTGCTAAGGCAAAAGAGGCACATAGCGTGCCCATAAGTGAGCAGGACAGCAGCCTCGTAAGAGGGCCAAGCTTCAAATGCTGGGGACTCTGACTCCACGATAGCAGGTTGAGTCCCAGTACCAAGGATATCTATCATCATACGTTT